GGCCAAATTGCATCCCACTTCAGCGGCAGCGGTGTTGACGAGAAGTCTCTCCGTGACATCCAATGTGAAAAGACGTTTGCTGAAGCACTAATTCATGCTGCTTCTAGATTTTACCATGGCATTCACAAAGTAATCACTGCTTAAACCGCATCCGCGCATAAGTTTATCCAAATCTGGAATGCAGCATATGCTGCAAGAAGACTGTTATTTTTATCATCTGCTAAATATAATGCTGTAGAAGCGGTGCTTAAATCTGCAGAATTTGCGGATGAAGCTAAAAGGAGAGAATTGTGATATTTATTAGCTGGCATTAGTGTATACCTCTCGTTTGAATGTTCTGACATACCCTTGAATTTCTTCTGCTGTGTCTTGGTGAATGGTCTGGTCACTGGACAGAAGGACTGGTTAAGAATGACTTCTGACCCAACAAAAGACTTCCGCATTATAAAAGGAGAAGTGATGCCCTCAATTTTGGCAAAATGTGTGAGAACTGACCAATACTAGAAGCATTATGTGGTGAAGAGGATTGGAAAAAACACAAAACAAAATCGGAACGTGGCATGGGTAGTGAAGTAATAATTCACACTATTTATTTGAATGTGCATATCAAAAGCAACCGATTATCAGGTTCAATTAACACTTCGAATTCAACTAGTATTTCGTTGTCCATCTTCTCTATTCCCTTCTGGGGTAATTTTCCCTTCCACAAAAACCTGATGCAGTTGCACACATCCTGCAAAAAAGGCAAAGATTTGTGACCACGGCCCCAAGCACTTATCTTTAATCGAACGTGGTCGTGTCAATAACATGATTAGTGAAAACTTCTCCACATTTTCGCATTTGAAAACAGCATATGGCCAATTTGGCTAGATAGGAAAGAAAACATGTAGAAATAGATAGGTAGGCCTAGGTGCACACAATTTGAAAACAAACAGGTCCATTCTGCCAGTTCTGACATATCCGCTGATTCACGGATACATTGTTCTCAATTAGAAAAATTTGTCCGCCTCTCCGTTTGTGTGGTAGCGCAGCTCAAAATATGCATCTTTCTAAGAAAAAACGTTGTCTTATGCAAAGATAGTAAAAGGATGGATAGAAAATATGCAAATGCATACGTGAGTAAAAGGGTAGAAGAATGGGGAGGTAGGTATCCAGTGTTTTCATCACAAGTAGATTTAGGCCATATACCTGTGAATAATGGGCTTAACTTAGCAAAATACGTATAACTTCTAAAAAAGAAAAATAAGTAATTTGTGGGAATTTGGCATTGCATCAAAAGTACACAAATATATAATTATAAAGATTGCAATTTTTTCAGACCAATATTTCCGCACCAAAAAATATTTAAAATACAAATGTATATATGTGTTTGAAAGTTCGTTTTTAATGTTTTTTAAATGCTGCCCTAAAATTTTTCTAAACCCATTCCGGTTTGTTCGACTACATATTTGAATCACATCTGGATGCTCATGGGTGTTTTGATCTTTGGTGTGCAGCAAAGTTCTTTTTATCAGACTCGTTATGTAAAGGATGCAGGCGATTAAGAGGAATCAATTGTCGTATTTGCTATTTTTTCACCTTAGCAGTCTGTATATAAGGAATATAGTGGCTCCACGGGTTGAAAGTCGTTTTTTTCACTTGACGAATGTGTCTGTGTTGAACGTCGGGAATAACCGAATGTGATCAGTTGGCATGTCTCTGCACTTATTGCATTTGACTTGCCTCTGTTGGAAGTAGAGGCTGTTGGCAACTTTGCCAAGTTTTGATGGAGTCTATTCTAACCTGCAGTCCTGGTTACTTGGACTTGCCGGAGAACGGAATCGCTTGGCTTTCGAAGGACCTTTGAAAAGAGGAGAATCTGGAACATCTGCCAATAACAAGTAATTGCTGTTATGTTATGTCAAATATTGTTCATGCGTAGACATGCTCTTAAGTGTTGGGAGATGCGTAATTGACATCCTTATTAGTATATTTAGACAATCACATATGAATGCTTGATACGGCATCACCTCACTCTTCGTTTTCACAGATAACACGCAGGGAGTATTGGCGAGAAGTTCTTTATCTGTAGAAATGGAAAGGTAATTTGCGGAGAATGAAAGAGGCGGTGGAATGCATTCGATAACCTGTATCCTGATTCTCATTTGATCCCTAGCTAGAGCTTCCTCTATCAAGAGTGTTCCGCGGTTAGTCGCTGGGAATGCACTCGCAACCGTTTGAGACAAGGCTGAGTCAGCGTCGACTGGGTAGTCTGTTTTCTTTTCACATTGCTTTTGTTCCTTGTCGACCCCTAGACAAGTATTTATAAACATTCTAGCCCTCTCATAGTGATCCCAAAATGACAGCATTACTGTTCAGTGCTTTGTTTTTAGGTCCATATATGTATCATTTTCCTTCCGTATGTTCTGCTGTTTTTCGCTACCTGCTCACTGCAGTTCTTCTACGTCCGCTTATTGCCGCCCATAACTGCCTGTAAAGTTTAGCAGATAATATAACTAGGATGTGAGAATGAGGAAGATAATTTACTTTTTAGCTGTTGTCACATCCAGTTTGCTCGTCACTATGCAGTTATGTTTACAACTTGCAGAAGTGTTAAATATTCGTTAGGGTGAATATTGGCCCTTGAAAAATATTCCGAGTAGCATACGTGTTAAGGGGTAACATTCTAATTACAGAGGAGAAAATTTCAAGGCACTGAACTCCTTACTGCTCTTCATGACTCGTGTATGATGAGAAAATTGTCCATTTGCGTCGTTTCAAGCACGGGTGGGATTATTCGCTTGGGTAAACTGGGACCTTCGTGATTTTCTTACTCCTACATCGCCCTTCGATTTTTGGTCCGGCAGAAAGGTCACTGCCGTGGTGGGTCCCTCCTCGGGCCTCGAGGATCGCACCAACGTTGCTTCAGCGCTCACGGTCGTACGCTCTCCAGTGCTCCTGGCGTGATCGACCTCATATGCGCCTCCGACTCTTATTACACGTTAGTTTTCCCTCACTTCCGGTCTTACTTATTTCCTCTTCCCCTCTCAAAAGTTGGCGACAGGTTTGTTACTTGGATTAGTAGTATTTGTGTGTTCACTTGATTAGTTTATCCAACTTTGTACCAAGCATAAATAAGTGCACTTGACTGACTACAGCTCTTCAGCCGTAACAGTCATTCAACGAATCCAAACGGAAGTGAATGTCAATTTGGGAAGAAAAAATAATACTTGAGCTCAAAAGTTCGTAATGCAGATAAGAATGAGCAAGACTTAGAAGCCATGAGAATGATTTGCTTTTAGGCTTTGCTCGCATAAGCATATGTGTATAAATGGAGGTGATTCA